TAAAATCAACAATTTCTTTCAACCATACATCTCAAGGAATCCATAACTTTTATCAACTTTTCAACCATATGTTTAATCAATTTTGATCAATATCTACTCAAATATAATTTACTAAGCAGGGTCATACTTAATGCAAAGTCTTTAAAAATTGGCGTGAATTTAAAATGACTTCTCGAGCTCACACCCTTTTAGGCAAAATATGAGAAATTAGTTGTATGAATTATGAAAAACGAATTCATTGATTTATGTTGCACACTTCCTATTGTAAATTATGAAACGATTTTTCCAACCGAAACGAAAGTCCATACCTGTTTCTTCCAGTTCTAGTGGTGTTTCTAGTTTGTATTACGTATTTTTTTTAGTATTTTGGATTGTATTGAAGTACGTTTTCATATTATACACACACACACACAAACACACAAATTTTTTTTACGTTTTAGTGTGTTTACATATATATCGAATATTTTTTAATATTATATCATTAAATATTAAGAATCAAAGTCGCTCTTACGATCGCTAACTGTCGACGTTAACCGGTCAATGTCCGTGGTCAGCCGGGGCTGAGCTTCGAGGTTGGGTCCACCACTGTACACAGGTGACCACACAAGTATAACTGCAATGATAACACATATCATAACACAAAGGATTTGTGCATTCTAAAGTTAACTCATTTGAAGATCGTCTCTCTGTATAAAATTAAGGTAACCAACAAATTCTTATAAAGATTCAACAAGAAAATCGAACCCAAATCATCGGTTCAAGTATCCAACCACAACCAAAAAAAGCCCAGACAACAAATCAAACTTGAAGCAAAAAAGGGTCACTGAATCCGCTGGAAATGGTCGTTGATGAAGAAGGCAACGACGATGAGGACATTGAGGAGAAACGAATTCAGTGCAAAGATTATGATCCACCACCACTGGATCTCAAAACCAGATTTGCTTTGGTCGAGACGTTGTTTGTAGTCGCAGCGATATTGTGTTGTGGTTTTTCTGATCTGCTGCGTTACTGGAGTTTGGGTGTATTTTTTGTTGATGATTTTGCGGTTGGGGGGTTTTTTTTGGTGCGGTGGTGTGCGAGCTGTTGATGGGTGGTTGGGTGCGGTGCTATTGACCAGTGGGTGTGATATGGTGGTGTGTGCGGTGGACCAGTGGTTGTGTGCGGTGACTAGTTGTTTGTGTGCGGTGATGGTGCAGTGTTTTGGTGGCAGTTGTTGGCGGTGATGGTGCAGTATTTTGGTGGCGGTTGTTGGCGGTGATTTTGTTAATATAGTTAGTGGTAGTACTTGTGGCGGTCGACGGTAGTGGTGGTGGTGGGTACCGTGGTGATGGTGGCCGCTCTGTTGGTGTGCAGTGCCTCTAGCGGTGGAGGTGGGTGATGGTGGTGGATCTGGTGGTTGCATGGGTGCTGTTGGTATAGTGGTGGCGGTGGACGGTGGTGGTGGTGCTGATAGAGACAGCGTTGAACTGGTGGTCACAACTGTTGACGGTAGTTATAGATTAGACTAGCTGTGACCACATAATGGACTATCTGTGATCTTAAAATCGCCAATTTGTGACTAAAAATTAATTCGTGATCTGTAATTTTTTTGATCCGTGACCAATAAAATAATTTGTGATCTAAAAAATTATTGATTTGTGACTTTGAGATAATCCGTGACCTCCAAAAATTTTGATATGTGACCGATAAATAAATTGTGACCTATAAAATTTTTCAACTGTGACCTCGAAATAATTCGTGACTTATAAATTTTTTGATTTGTGACCTAAAAAATAATCTATGACCAATTAATTGTATAATTATGACATCATTATATTTAATTAATTAAATCATAATTAATTAATTAATTAAATCATAATAAAATTTAATAAAAATCTAATTTTTGAAATTCCAAACTTGTTTTCTTAATTTTGAAATAGGGGTACTTATCCTCTTACTTATGAATTTTTCTCTTGTATAATTTACAAGATTTATTATTTAATAATAATATTATGTTATTACTTCTAAAGAGAAAATATCTATGATTAATAATAATTTGTTGATATTTCTAAAGAAGTATAAATTAAATAACTCAATCTTGAGTTATAATTTTTGAAAAAAATTAACTTTTTTGTTTTTTAATATTCCAAAAAAATATTGTATTATTGCTCTCGAATAAATATAAAAATTGATATATTAAAGTGACTTAATATAAGTCACCAAGTATTCTAGTGAGCAGATAGAGAGAAAATTCATATTGCATAAAATTTTGGAGAATCTGGACAGCATGTAGTAGCTATGATCAAACATTGATGTCTCTGTAATTCGTGATGTCGATCATCGTGAAATTTGGACAACAGGTTCAAAACTTATTGTTATTCAAATCCAAGGATTTAGAATAAAATCAAACAGTTCATTTGTAAGAAATTGTTACTCAAATTATAGCGAGAAATTAGAATTGATTAGAAGATCGTGAATTTTTTTTAAGAATAAAATTGTTTTCATGTTTTTTTTTTTTTTAAAAAAAAGGAATTTGAGAATGCTTAAAGTAATCTAAATTTATTTCAATTCTTAAATACTATGTCGTTACGTTTGAAGAAGAACGACTTTATAGTAATTTAATATTTCAGAAAAATATTGCGTTGTTGTTCATGTAGAGCACAAAATTTGATTTTTTAAAATATTATATTGCTTGAAAGTTGGAATGAATTTGTAATATCAATATTTAAGAAGAATGAAAGGTTGAACAAATTGTTAATATCAATATTCCACAAGAATATTGTATTTATACTCTTGAATATTATATATCTCGTTGTATTCCTAAATATTATTTTGATATTCCTGAAAAATAAATTTTTTTTATAAAAATCAATATTGTAGAAGAATATTGTATTAGTTTCGAAGATTGACTTTTTATTCATCTTAGTTTGATAATATGTTAATACTTTTGGAGAAGCATAACTCATATACAAAAAATCCATTATTCTAGAAGAATGTTTGGTTATTTCAAAGAACGGCTTATAAATATTATTATTCTAGAAGAACATTTTGTCATTTATAAATAATTATAAAGTTTTACATACCAATATTCTTAAAGAATATTATTTAGTTATTCGTGATTAAACTAAAAAAAAATATCATAAAATTATTTTAGAAGAAGCATGATTCTACACGTGCTTATGATGGTGCTCTCGAATAAGCACACTTCTCAAAAATTATGGAATCATTGAAATCAAATATTATCAAGAACTTGAAGTTGGTTGATTCAAAAACTTTATGATTTGATATAGTATTTATATCATGAGACGTTTGTAGCGTACATGTAATACATATAAGCATCCAACTAAACTCATGATGAGTCATTCAATGAAAATCAATACAACATAATATTGAGATTTTGCAAAATTCGATTGTAAGGCATTAGAAGAGTCAATAATATGTTACACTCATTTTCTTAGTTTTTACTATACAAGTGTTAATACAATTGAAGCAAACAATATATTGAACTAGAAATTTAACTACTGAATGTATTATTGTTTGGCATGATCAGTTAGTTCATCACTGGATCAATAATGATGGAGAATTAAGAATGCAAATGGATATCCAACGAAGTACTAAAAAACTCATCAGTCCAATGAATTCTTATATGATGTTTTATTCTCTTTATTGAAAATTGGTCATTAACATTCACTAGTTAAAACAGGGCTTGAATTCCCTATATTTTTTGAAAATTAATTAAGGTGATAAATGGGATCCCGCCACATTTTATGTTGACCATCTAGATATTATTTCTAACTAATACATATGATACATCTACTATATGATTGTACATTGTTTACAACTTGAAGTTTGCGAAATTACTGCTCAAATTTTAAATTATGAGCATATTTTTTAAATTATACAATCAAAACGATGTGTTTTGTTAATACTGGTAAGCTTGAATCTCAATATGTTAATGAGTATTAGTCGAGATGATGATAAATGTTTTAATATGATTGTTTGTTAAATGTCTTTAATTAATTTTTAAATCGTTACTATTGAGAACAAAGTACTTCCCATTTTTGTCTAGAAAATACTATTAGCATCGCGCCTACATCAAATTTTTTCCCACTATATTTGGCTTATAGTCAGAGCCCAGCTTTTTGATCTAATTATTTTGATAGTGCAATATATATATATATATATATTAAGGGGAGAAATTAAGAAGGTAAAAATAAAGTACAAATACATCATTATATTATCTAGATCCTTGAAAAAAATTTGAATCATATGAATCAGAAGTTCAAAATATGATTCATTTAAATGTATTTACTAATTAAAGACATTGACAATATCTCACATTCCAACTTTAAATGATCCAACTTGAATTCACCTCTTAGAATGACAATTCATTAATATTGTAATTTATAAATCAATGACATGTCTGAAGCATGAAGACGTTCGATTCCGAGACAAAGTTTTTCAAAAGAAAAATGGAACAAATATTGAACATGGTCCATTAGGAGTTGTATGCTTTTGGATAGTATATAAACATAACAAAATGTAAAATTTCAGAAGAAGATCGATAACTGAAATGTTGAAAATTAAGATACATCAATAGTTATATCATTATGAGAAAGAAATAAAATCCAAAATAAAAGTTGCCGACAATGTTTTCGAATAAAACATACCACTTTATATTTTAAATAGAGAGGATATCGAAATAATCATATCAATTGGAAAAAAATAGCCAAATTAGAAGAAACAGTCCTAATAAAATTGAATTTATTAGAGAAATTTGAAATTTTTGAACTTGCAATCCGAAAATATAAAGGTATATATTTATGTGAAAAAATAAGAAAATTGAAGTAATATATAATCTAAGAATCTCAACATAGCGAATTTCACAAAATTCGTGGTGGATGCAATGATTGTAATCACAAGTCCATGTCTTGCAATCCTGACAATGTATGAAATTTTGAAATGTGATTATAGTCAATTCATCGGCATGATTATTATTGTTATCTTTAAAGAATTTAATAGGTTTGAAGCATATAATTCAAGTGATGTTATTATGAGGATGAGTAAATACGCTTTATACTCTTTTTTCTTTGACCAATGTTTTGTCACATTTGATTTTCCTAACAAGGTTTTCAATGAGACGATTTTTGTGACATATTCAAATGAATAATGTACTCTTTTTCCTTCATCACAATGTTATCCTCGAGATTTTTCTAATAAGGTTTTAAAGAACATATTTTGTGTGAAATGATTCCCATAACCTACAAGACATTTACCCTCAAAATAACATTCTTATATGTTACAAATTGTGTACAATTCCCACAAAGAGTAATAACATAATCTATTTTTCAATAGATCATCATGTGACTAAAGACGAACAAAAATTGATAAATATCAGTTATGAATACGATATTGCTTAAAGATTATATAACAAGACAACACGAAACATGATTAGCCAAAATTGTAATATTGAAGGCATTAATATACAGGACATGGATGTTTCGATACAAGAATTCTCATTTATTGAAGTTAGGGAAGCAATTGTACTCTTTTTCCTTAACTCAAGTTTTTTTTTACCATTGAATTTTTTGATAAGATTTTAATGAGACATATTTTGTAATATGTCATTCAACGAAGAGTTGTAAATTATATGTTTATTAGTGAATAACCATTATATTTCTACAACCCTAGTTATAATGACGATTGTATCCTTTGCAGCCTTAATTTTTCTTTATAAATATGAAGTTTTGGTTCTTAATGAAATACACACAGTCTATTGATTTTTCTACTTTCTTTTTTTCCTCTCTATTTTATAACAATTATATAATTATTGAAGTTGTTAAGTATTAAATGATTATACAATTGGAAAAATAAAAATGATGATGATGATGATGATGATGATGATGATATTCTATTCTATTCGTTTTTAATAAAAATGACAGAACCAACAAGATTATTTTGAACGGA